TGGCATTGTTAGCCTCTCAGTGCTGGCAGGGGTCTCCACGTGGTTCCTTCAGCTCCCAGGGCATAGGGTCTATCAGTGTAGTGTCATGTGTCTTGTCAGTAAAGTATCTTTCAGGGCGTGAGGAGAGAGAGAGAGAGAGAGAGAGAGAGAGAGAGACTCTGTCTCCTACCTCCAAGGAGGAAATACAGGAGTTCTCAGAATTCTCAGGACAAGGCCATGCCCACACAGAGGCCTCATTGGCGATGATCCGATTGACTGTCTAGACCAGGGGGTCCTCAAACTGCGACCTGCTGAGGACATTTATCCAGCCCGTTGGGTGTTTTTGCCCCCGTTTTATTTTTTACTTCAAAATAAGATATGTGCAGTGTGCATAGGAATTTATTCATAGTTTTTTTAAAACTATAGTCCAGCCCTCCAACAGGTCTGAGGGACAGTGAACTGGACCCCTGTTTAAAAAGTCTGAGGACCCCTGGTCTAGACTCTACCCCTTCACTGTTAATCCCCTCAAGTCCCAAACTGACACCAGATGTATGTAACCACCACACCTTGTCCATCATGAGTGACCCTGCGGGTATTTGAAATAACGTGCCATAGTTGCCAGTATACAGCAAGGTGCAAGCTACCGCGGTATGACCAACTGACAGACTGGTGGTGGATGAAGGCATACCGCATACACTCGAGTATAAGCCGACCCGAATATCAGCCGAGGCACCTAATTTTACCACAAAAACTGCATTAAAAATGTGCTGAAAATGCTCAGCTTATATGTCTGGCCAAATCAGTAACCCCCCACCCCTTGCGGAGCTGGTCGGAGTTGGCTGACGCATTTCCCTCCGGACCTTGCACTCAGCCACATGTGCGCTTTATCGGCAACCAGGAAGTGCTCCCTTATCTGGCCGAGCGCTGACGTACCTGCGTCCACCAATCACCAGCAGCCTTCCTCACCTGGCCAGGGGCAGGGACGTGCCTGCGTCCACCAATCACTAGCAACCTTCCTCGGGCGTGCCAGCGCCAGCCAATCTCTGACCACCTTACTAGATGCTGGCCCAGGGCCAGCCCAGCCACATGTCTCCCGCCCTTAAGAGGTCGCTCCCATTGCCCTGGGCGCCACTCCCCTGGCCTGACGCTGTGGACTGTGGGACTTCGCCCAGGCGGGTTTTTTCCCCCCAATAAAGTCTGTTTGCTAAAATTTGGCGATTCGGTCTCTGGCGCCTCTCGACTACCTTACATTATACACAAGTACACACGGTACATGCCTGGACCAAATTGGGGGAGCCCAGCCTGTTCTCTTTTGTACTTGACTGAGTTACTCGAGTCTGGTAGTAAGCAGGAAGATGATCAACAACACATTGCTTCTGGCTGCTTCCAAGACAGCAGCCCACCCCCAGCTGAGGAATGCTGAACTGATTAGGAAAGCCCCTTCCTTTGGTCACATCAAAGATTTATGGGACCTGGGTTGGTTGAGCTGCCACTTAGATGTTCAAATCCACTCCCAAAGGGGCCCAAGGGCGGAAGGGTTCCCAGTGGGAGCAAGCACAGCCGCCTTCTCCTCCCTGAGGCGCTTTGCTGCTCGGCACCCTGGTGCTGTGTGCCTGTCAAGGTCTCAGGGAGACCTTTCCCTGGGCAGCAGCCAGCTAACCTGAGCCTGTGCAGGGACTTATTTAGAGATGGGTCATACTTTTGGACTTCGAGTGCTCTAAGTTGGCGTTCAATGCCACCGCAACAGCTCAAGGATGCCTAGCAGCTAGGGAGGGATGCCCCGCCCCCACCCGCCCCTCGAAGGCACTCTTCCTTCCTCTGGTACGTCCTCCAAATTAATTCTGGGCGAGAATTTTTGAGTTAACTTTAAATGTCTGTCATGCTTTACTCAGTACCCGGCTCTCTTCCAAAGGGTGCTGCGCGTCCCTGGGACGTTTCCTATCCCCACTCGCACGATTCTATTTCCGTTCCTCCTTAACTCCTTTTTCCCAAGTCATTTTGCTCTTGGGTTTCGGTCACACTATGACAACCCATGCGGCACCAGAAACTGCCCTCTTGGCTGTCGGTAATTCTAGCCCTTCTTCTCGGAACTCCTCGCTCTGTGAGTGCCAGCCAGGTGAAAGACGGTGCTCAGTTGTGGGTAAAGTCAAGCAGAGGAGGAGAGTCAGAAGGAACAACTCCCCAAAGAGCAGTGGTTTCCTTGGTCACCGAGTCACCACACTCAGCCTTCACCCTGGCTTCCCTTCTGAGATGAGTCAGTGGTCCTTGTAGCCAGTGCTTTGAAGAAATTCGGGACTGAGACGCTGATGTGCATTCTGACATGCGCTTCCCGGCAGCTGACTCATTTGCATTTTCCCGAGGTGAAACCGTCTGCCTTCTCAGGTGTTGACAGAAACAATCAACACTTCAAAGTTGAGAAAGGCTGGGGTCAGGGGGGGGGGCGTGTTAGCTACCAAAGAGAAGCCTGAAAGCTTTCTTGAGTAGGAACGTGTTTCCCAAGATAGGAGCTGAGCTGAATGGCTGTCAGCTGTAGCTTTCTTGTGGCTAAAAACTTACATTTTTCCCTTCTAATTCGTTTCTTTTCAAAGGGTAATTCCTTTGCCTTCTGGCTGACCTTTTCTTAGCTTTCGGGGACTTCACTCAGTCTGGCCTCACCTAAGGGTCCTTAATGCCTCTCCTCTTCAAAGAAGCCGACAGGACAGTCTCTTTATGGACCTTTTTCCAGCCCGGCCCCAGGCATTCCAGAGTTTTCTACGGGGGAGGAGTGCTCCTCTAATCCCAGCAGCCAGGGTCCTATCCACCGAAAACCCCACCAACCCCAGCAGTTGCTGTGGAGTCTCCTTCGCCTCACCACCGCCACAGGTTTTCCGTGGAGAACTGCGCTCCATAGGGTTTTCAGCGGATGTGAACTTTGGGAAGTAGATCCCCCGGCTTTCCGGGCCTCCAACGGGTCTGAGGGACGGTAAAGTGGGCCCCTGTTTACAAAGTTTGAGGACCCCTGGATTACAGTCTTGGACACCCACAGGGAGTCGCGATGGGTCAGCACGGACTTGCGGTCAGTGAGTCTTCTTCCTCTAAAGAATGTTTGTCTAGTTGGTTTCTGCAGGTGGGCTGCTGGGCTCCAGCAGGGCTGCGCATCAGCCTCCCCACGACGCCCCAGGGAGTGCTTCCTTCCTTCCTTCCTTCCTTCTGTGGGCGCTTTCTGCATCATTTGTCATGAGGAGGAGTGCGATGGTGAAGCACTTTCATCTGAAGCCCCATTCTTTGAAATGGAATGCTGGCGAGCCAAGTGACTGAGCCTCCATAGCCGCTAAGGAACTGATCATGGAATCACATCAGCTTCAGGGGAAGATAGAATGAGGTATAGCATTCACTCACCACCCACCTCCAATTCTATCGTATTGTGGGGGCGTCCTGGTTGCTGTGACACTGGGAATGATGCCACCAGTCTTTCATATACCAGCAGGGTCACTGATGGCCATTTCAGGGGAGCTTCCAGAGTAGGACAGACTAGAAAGAAAGGTCTGGTGGCCGCTTTCTGAAAATTGGCCAGTGAAAACCCGCTGGAGCACAGCAGCATATTGTCTACTCCGATGATGGAAGATGAGCCTCCCAGACCGTGTTAAAAATAACTGACACCTCAAAGAAATGGAAGCGTCAGGCTTCATCTGAGTAGTCATTCTACTGATTCTCAAAAAACAACGAAAACACACATGGCTCCACGGAAGCTGGCTACAAGGAGATGCTTACAAAGAGGAGGGAGGAGGAAAGCTGAACCGCTGCTGAGCGGCATGGGATTGAGTGAACCCTGCCTTCTGCTTCACAGAAGACAGCTCCTGTCCTCGAGCCTCTAGGTGGTCTCTGGCTTGGCTGCCTCCCCCCATCCATCTGCACACATCTTTTAAGTGTAGCCAGGAAGGTGTAAAAAGATAAAAAGTGGTTGTAGCAATAACAAGCCTTTGTAAGTTTTTGTTTTTTGTTTTTATTGCATAATAATAAAAACATACTGCTGAAAAAATAAAGATATAAAGTACCTCATCCTTAGGAACAAGCGGAATTCCCTAAAGTAACTCCCCCCCCCACCCCCTCACCCCATTAGATCAATTCTGAGCTTGCTCATTGCTTTTTGTCACAACGGGTTTGTAAAGATTTAATCCCTGTGCTTAACTGGGCCTCACTCACTCACTCACTCACTCACTCTCACTCACTCACTCACTCACTCACTCACTCACTCACTCACACTCACTCACTCACTCACTCACACTCACTCACTCACTCTCTCACTCACACTCTTACTCACTCACTCACTCACACTCTCACTCATTCACTCACACTCACTCATTCACTCACTCACACTCACTCACTCACTCTCTCACTCACTCTCACTCACTCACTCACACTCTCACTCACTCACTCACTCACTCACACTCTCTCTCTCACTCATTCACTCACTCACACTCACTCACTCACT